TTAATGGATGGATGGATGGATGATGGATGGTTGGATGGATGGATGGATGGATGGATGGATGGATGATGGATGGATGATGGATGGTTGGATGGATGGATGGATGGATGGTTGGATGATCGATTGATGGATGGATGATGGATGGTTGGATGATCGATTGATGGATGGATGGTTGGATGATCGATTGATGGATGGATGGTTGGATGATCGATTGATGGATGGATGATGGAGGGATGATCAATTAATGGATGGATGGATGGATGATGGATGGATGGATGGATGATCAATTAATGGATGGATGGATGGATGATGGATGGATGGATGTTGGATGGATGATGGATGATGGATGGATGGATGTTGGATGGATGATGGATGGATGTTGGATGGATGATCAATTAATGGATGGATGGATGGATGATGGATGGTTGGTTGGATGGATGGATGGATGGATGTTGGATGGATGGATGGATGGATGATCAATTAATGGATGGATGGATGGATGGATGGATGATGGATGGATGGATGGATGGATGGCTGGATGTTGGATGGATGGATGGATGGATGATGGATGGTTGGATGATCGATTGATGGATGGATGGTTGGATGATCAATTAATGGATGGATGGATGGATGGATGATGGATGGATGATGGATGGATGGATGGATGGTTGGATGGGTGGATGGATGGATGGATGATGGATGGATGATCGATTGATGGATGGATGTTTGGATGATCAATTAATGGATGGATGGATAGATGATGGATGGATGATGGATGGATGGATGGATGTTGGATGGATGGATGGATGAATGGATGGATGATGGATGGACGATGGATGGTTGGATGGATGGATGGATGGATGGATAATGGAATGATGGATGGATGTTGGATGGATGGATGATGGATGGATGGATCGATGGATGATGGATGGTTGGATGATCGATTGATGGATGGATGGTTGGATGATCAATTAATGGATGGATGGATGGATGATGGATGGGTGGATGGATGATGGATGGATGGATGGATGTTGGATGGATGGATGGATGATGGATGGATGTTGGATGGATGGATGGATGATGGATGGTTGGATGGATGGATCGATGGATGGTTGGATGATCGATTGATGGATGGATGGTTGGATGATCAATAAATGGATGGATGGATGGATGATGGATGGATGATGGATGGATGGATGGATGATGGATGGATGATGGTTGGTTGGTTGGATGGATGGATGGATGGATGGATGGATGAATGGATGGATGGATGATGGATGGATGATGGTTGGTTGGATGGATGGAAGGATGGATGGATGGATGGATGATGGATGGATGATGGATGGATGATCAATTAATGGATGGATGGATGGATGATGGATGGTTGGATGGATGGATGGATGATGGATGGATGATGGATGGATGGATGGATGGATGGATGATGGATGGATGGATGGATGTTGGATGGATGGATGGATGATGGATGGTTGGATGGATGGATCGATGGATGGTTGGATGATCGATTGATGGATGGATGGTTGGATGATCAATTAATGGATGGATGGATGGATGATGGATGGATGATGGATGGATGGATGGATGTTGGATGGATGGATGGATGAATGGATGGATGATGGATGGACGATGGATGGTTGGATGGATGGATGGATGGATAATGGAATGATGGATGGATGTTGGATGGATGGATGATGGATGATGGATGGATGATGGATGGATGATCAATTACTGGATGGATGGATGGATGATGGATGGTTGGATGGATGGATGGATGGATGATGGATGGATGATGGATGGTTGGATGGATGGATCGATGGATGGTTGGATGATCGATTGATGGATGGATGATGGATGGTTGGATGATCGATTGATGGATGGATGGTTGGATGATCGATTGATGGATGGATGGTTGGATGATCGATTGATGGATGGATGATGGAGGGATGATCAATTAATGGATGGATGGATGGATGATGGATGGATGGATGGATGGATGATCAATTAATGGATGGATGGATGGATGGATGTTGGATGGATGATGGATGGATGATGGATGATGGATGGATGGATGTTGGATGGATGATGGATGGATGGATGGATGTTGGATGGATGATCAATTAATGGATGGATGGATGGATGGATGGATGATGGATGGTTGGTTGGATGGATGGATGGATGGATGGATGTTGGATGGATGGATGGATGGATGGATGATCAATTAATGGATGCATGGATGGATGATGGATGGATGGATGGATGGATGGCTGGATGTTGGATGGATGGATGGATGGATGATGGATGGTTGGATGATCGATTGATGGATGGATGGTTGGATGATGAATTAATGGATGGATGGATGGATGATGGATGGATGATGGATGGATGGATGGATGGTTGGATGGGTGGATGGATGGATGGATGATGGATGGATGATCGATTGATGGATGGATGTTTGGATGATCAATTAATGGATGGATGGATGGATGATGGATGGATGATGGATGGATGGATGGATGTTGGATGGATGGATGGATGAATGGATGGATGATGGATGGACGATGGATGGTTGGATGGATGGATGGATAATGGAATGATGGATGGATGTTGGATGGATGGATGATGGATGGTTGGATGGATGGATCGATGGATGATGGATGGTTGGATGATCGATTGATGGATGGATGGTTGGATGATCAATTAATGGATGGATGGATGGATGATGGATGGATGGATGGATGATGGATGGATGGATGGATGGATGATGGATGGATGGATGGATGTTGGATGGATGGATGGATGATGGATGGTTGGATGGATGGATCGATGGATGGTTGGATGATCGATTGATGGATGGATGGTTGGATGATCAATTAATGGATGGATGGATGGATGATGGATGGATGATGGATGGATGGATGGATGGATGATGGATGGATGATGGTTGGTTGGATGGATGGATGGATGGATGGATGGATGGATGATGGATGGATGATGGTTGGTTGGATGGATGGATGGATGGATGGATGATGGATGGATGATCAATTAATGGATGGATGGATGGATGATGGATGGTTGGATGGATGGATGGATGGATGATGGATGGATGTTGGATGGATGGATGGATGGATGGATGATGGATGGATGGATGGATGGATGGATGTTGGATGGATGGATGGATGGATGTTGGATATATGGATGGATGGATGGATGTTGGATGGATGGATGGATGTTGGATGGATGGATGGATGGATGATGGATGGATGATGGTTGGTTGGATGGATGGATGGATGGATGGATGATGGATGGATGATGGATGGATGATCAATTAATGGATGGATGGATGGATGATGGATGGTTGGATGGTTGGATGGATGGATGGATGGATGATGGATGGATGATGGATGGTTGGATGGATGGATCGATGGATGGTTGGATGATCGATTGATGGATGGATGATGGATGGTTGGATGATCGATTGATGGATGGATGGTTGGATGATCGATTGATGGATGGATGATCAATTAATGGATGGATGGATGGATGATGGATGGATGGATGGATGGTTGGATGATCGATTGATGGATGGATGATGGAGGGATGATCAATTAATGGATGGATGGATGGATGATGGATGGTTGGACGGATGGATGATGGATGATGGATGGATGATGGATGGATGATGGATGATGGATGGATGGATGGATGGATGGATGTTGGATGGATGGATGGATGGATGTTGGACGGATGGATGGATGGATGGATGGATGGATGTTGGATGGATGGATGGATGGATGGATGGATGGATGGATGATGGTTGGTTGGATGGATGGATGATGGATGATGGATGGATGTTGGATGGATGGATGGATGATGGATGATGGATGGATGATGGATGGATGGATGGATGGATGGATGATGGATGGATGGATGATGGATGATGGATGGATGATGGATGGATGGATGGATGGATGGATGGATGATGGATGGATGGATGGATGGATGGATGGATGGATGATGGATGGATGGATGGATGGATGGATGGATGGATGGATGGATGGATGATGGATGGATGGATGGATGATGGATGATGGATGGATGATGGATGGATGGATGGATGGATGGATGGATGATGGATGGATGGATGGATGATGGATGATGGATGATGGATGGATGATGGATGGATGGATGGATGGATGGATGGATGATGGATGGATGGATGGATGATGGATGATGGATGGATGATGGAAGATAGACAAGTCTTGATCAGGTGATTCTATTCTAATCCAGAACATCCATCAGCAGCAGCTGACTGACTGGTTTTTAACTGATGGGTTCAATAAATTTTAGAAAGTCAAACTGTTTCTATCGTCTGTCTTTAATCAGATTCAGGCTGATAGATTCTGATCATCACTTATTAGGTGATATTGAACCTGTTTCCAATATTAGATTAGAGCATTCCCAGTATAGTTGAAGGAAAATGTGTTCCTGCTCCAGGAAAGCTGCATGTCAGGCCATTTTATAGGAAACATTAAGCAGCTTCATGAATTTATCCATCCATCCATCCTCCATCCATCCATCATCCATCCATCCATCATCCATCCATCCATCATCCATCCATCCATCATCCATCCGTCAGTAAAGGAAGGGGGACAGATCCAGTCGCTCTTTGGAGGTTCAGCCTCTGTCCAGCCTCACACTGAGCCTGGTTCTGCTGGAGGTTTCTTCCTGTTAAAAGGGAGTTTTTCCTCTCCACTGTCGCTACAAGCATGCTTAGTGTGGGGGATTGTATTTGAGTCAATGAGTCAATGCAATCAACTGGTTTTCCTTAGATAGAAAACTTTGTATCAATTTGACTGTATGATCTGGTTGAACTGTAAAGTGCCTTGAGATGACATGTGTTGTGAATTTGGCGCTATATAAATAAACTGAATTGAATTGTATTTATCAGACTGAAGACAGAGGACGCTCTGTGTTTCTGTTTGCAGGGCAAACGAGTCCCTCCTGCAGAGACTAGAGAGATCCGCTGCCTCATCCAGCGCCGCTGCACGCACATCATCCATGGTGAGATGTCAGCTCTTCATGAAGACTAACCAAAGCGTTTGCTGTGCTCTTCATTGCTGCAGCACTGACTGATCTTAGTGGGATCTAACACCAACACATGTGGCTTTGCAGGCTGTTTCCTGAGTAAATGCTTCTGGACGCTGGGATTTTGTTGTCTGAGACAAGCAGGGGAAACAAGTTCTGTCCCCTATAGGTGGAGCAAGCTCCAGTCTTTCCTAGTCAGAGGAGGCAGACTGCCAGGTCCTGTTTAACAGAGAGAGACCGCTTCATCCCAGCCTTACTGCCCAGCCATGTCTCTCTGTCTGCTCCTCTTACTGTGCCTGTTTTTTCTGTTCGTCTGCTGCTTCCTCCTTTGGTTTTCTCAGACTTATCTTCCATTGTGTTGGTTTTCCTGCAGGGGAATGAATGGAGTGCTAGTAGAGTTCAAGGGACTTCCCAGAGTTCACACTGAGTGGAGATGGGCTTTACAGTCACTTACTGTAAAAATTCAGCAGAATATTAAATCATTGGAAGGACCTACGTCAGTAGATGAACCTGCAGAAACCCCCCGTTCTGAAACAGGCAGTCAGAGGCTCTATCAATGAGGTCAAGTTACACTTTTTGGTTTTTCTCTTTCCTGTCAGTTTGCTTCTCAGCTCAGCTGAATGACTAAAATACCTCAACTTACAACCTTTCTTTTGCTCCTTCTTTCATTTTTGTTTTTTCTTTCTTTCTTTCTTTCTTTCTTTCTTTCTTTCTTTCTTGCTAATTAATTTTATGATCACTTTCATTTTTGAGGCGATCCTATAGAAAGGAGCATTTCTCCACGTTGTCACTGCGGTAGGGAGATTAGGAACAGGACCTCCTCCCTCTCAGTCTATAGAATATCCTGATGATACGTTGATGCTCCAGTTTACGCTGAAAGCTCAGCCTCTGCTCCGCTTGTGGTGTTCAGTCAGAGACGACATCAGAGATGATGAACTTAACGCCGTCCAGCTGCTGATGCTGAAGGACCTGTGTTCTGGTTACCTCCTCCAGGGTCGATGTCCATCTGCTCCTTTACACCAGCCCTTTAGATGTTCAACCTTCCTCCATGTAGAAAGATTCATCATTCATCCTACCTCCATGGTATCATTCAGTTTTTCTCACACGTGGCATAATACCAGTGAACACTAGTGGGCCGAGTACGCAGCCTTAAGGCAAAGCAATATTTAGAACAACGGAGAAAGATTCTTTAAAAAACTGTTGGTGAAAATATGTGATTACAATTCGTCCTGAAAGCAAATATTTTATTCATTTATACCACAGCTTAGAGTTCGTTTTATACCTGCTTGATTATCTTCTTAATTTAGCAACAATTTCAGTCCCATCATGGCTTCAACCTTTCTTAGTAATTTTCCTTAGAGTTTGTGTAACTGTCTAGTTTAGCTCCACCCTACAGCATACAGGACGTATAATAACATTTTGGTTTACAATCCAAGAGATGATTTTTCCAAAGATGCTCAATGAAATATTTAATTGTTTAATTTGAAATACCTTTCCTTTAACAGCACAGGCTGGTAATCCTTATCACATCTGATATAAAACAATGTAAATCAGTTTAAATGTAAATAATTCTATTCAGTTTATTTCTATAGCTCCAATTCACATCCTGTCATCTCAGGTCACTTTCCAGTTCACCAGATCATCCAGTCAGATTGATTCAAAGTTTTCTATCTAAGGAAAACCAGCTGATTGCATCGACTCATTGACTCTTCAGCAATCCCTGACACTAAGCATGCTTGTAGCGACAGTGGAGAGGAAAAACTCCCTTTGAACAGGAAGAAACCTCCAGCAGAACCAGGCTCAATGTGAGCGGCCATCTGCTGAGGCCCACTGGGGTTCAAGGAGACAGAAGCAGACATAGAAAAAGAAGCATAGCTACAAAAGGCAACTGTCAACCAGCTCCACAGGCGGCCCCGTCCAGGAAACACACAGCCAGGCAGACGAGCTCCGAGCCAGCTCCCATGTCAGAGGATGAAGAGAGCACATCCAGTTAGTCACAGTCAGAGAAACAGGACTACACTGGAAAACAGGCCAAGCTCCAACATCTAGAAACAAAGGTGTTGATGGCAGCAGCACAGCTGATATTTCTCTCCAGGATGGAGTCACAGCCAAACAGGAACAGACCAGATGAAGCTACTATGAGAAAAAGCAGAGAGAGCAGAACGTTAGAGATTGAACTAACAGATTCTGCAGAGTGGGAGAATAGAGATAGAATGAAGCAGAATGATGAAAAAGGGGTCCCTATGTCCTCCAGCAGTCTAAGCCTATAGCAGCAGAACTATAGAGATAGATCAGGATAACCTGAGCCACTCTAACTAGAAGCTTTATCAAAAAGGAAAGTTTTAAGCCTAGCCTTAAAAGTAGACAGGGTGTCTGCCTCATGGACTAAAACTGGTAGTTGGTTCCACAGGAGAGGAGCCTGAGAACTAAAAGATCTGCCTCCCATTCTACTTTTAGAAATTCTAAGAACCACTACTAAACCTGCAGACTGAGAGCTCCGTTGTTCTAAAGAAAATACTGCGGAAAAAAACGAATGAAATGAAATCAAGAAATATAGTTTAAAAGCTACTGTCAAATCCAGCAAGATTTTTTAGGCTGACATTGTTGAAAGCAGCATTTTGACCAAGATATGATGTTGAAGAGTTCAATTTGTAGCGTGGGTCATATCTCTGACACGGTGAAAATATTACTTTAAATCCTCCTCTCTATTCATGCATGGGAAGGGTCACCGTTGTTCACGTCTCAGGAGGTCGACATTCATTGGGACGTGGCGACAGCTTCTTTCACCAAGCCTCACAGAGAGCTAACGATGTTCACACTCCTCCACATGGCCGCTCTGACTGACATCTCTGATGACATCACGCTTACCGGCTGCCTTTCCCAGCTTCTGTCATTGCTGGTTTCCTCTTTTTGCGATTTCTCCTTTACTGACTGTAAATAATCCATTCAGTTGACATGTTAGTAGCCTGAAAGCAGGTCACCGCAGACCTAAAGTCTTTTAATGATAAAATGTAATGTGGTGAAAGGCAGACGGGTCAGCTGAGTGATACAGAATTATATTAAAGCTAAAGAGAAGAAAAGGATCAACTCTTCCCAGCGTTTCCACCCTTCAATCTTATCACATTTCAACACTTTGTCTCCACCTTTCCTCCCGTCGTCCCATTTCATTTTTTGCTTTTATTTCCTATTTTCGTTTCTTAAATTCTCCCTCCCTCCCTCCCTCCCTTCCCTTTCCCTACACCATCCTACACTGTGCCTTCTCATCTTCCCTCTGGCCTCTCCCAGCCGGGCTCTGTGAGATGGACGTCACAGATTGGGAGATGAAAGCTTGTGGCTCCGCTTAGTGCATTTGATGTGGTTCCGACCCGGACCCTGGATCTGTTGTTCTTTCAGTACTGGCTCCAGAACACAGACACATCTCCTGCTTTATATCTTCTAGCGGTGGGTGTGTGTACCCAACTGTAGTGTGTGTTGGAGGGGGAGATTTAATGCTGCGCTTTGATGGGAGCAGAAAGCTCCCACCGGCGGACTTCACTTCCTGCCCTTACTGACCCTTCCACTCCTGAAAAGCAGCAGTGGGAAAAAAATGCTTTTTTTCTGGATCAAAACTACTTTCCAATTATATTTATGGAGTAATTTATCTTTAGATATACAGATAAGAACTGAGCTGTTGATCTGTGTGAAGGTCCTTATATCGTAATCACAGTTTAAAATCAGGAAGAAAGAACACGAACAAAAGGTGTTAACTAATGGATGGATCAATTCAGTTTATTTATATAGCGCCAAAATTCACAACACATGTCATCTCAAGGCACTTTACAGTTCAACCAGATCATCCAGTCAAATTGATTCAAAGTTTTCTATCTAAGGAAAACCAGCTGATTGCATCGACTCAAATACAATCCCTCACACTAAGCATGCTTGTAGCGACAGTGGAGAGGAAAAACTCCCTTTTAACAGGAAGAAACCTCCAGCAGAACCAGGCTCAGTGTGAGCGGCCATCTGCTGAGGCCCACTGGGGTTCAAGGAGACAGAAGCAGACATAGAAAAAGAAGCTGTAAAAGGCGGCCCCGTCCAGGAAACACACAGCCAGGCAGACGAGCTCCAAGCCAGCTCCCATGCCAGAGGACGAAGAGAGCACATCCACTCAGTCACGGTCAGAGAAACAGGACCACACTGGAAAACAGGCCGATCTCCAACATCTATAAACAAGGGTGTTGATGGAAGCAGCACAGCTGATGTTTCTTTCCAGGATGGATGGATGGATGGATGGATGGATGGATCCATCTCTCTGCTTTTCCTCAGCTACTCTGAGAAAAAGCAGAGAGAGCAGAACGTTAGAGATTGAACTAACAGATTCTGCAGAGTGGGAGAATAGAGATAGAATGAGGCAGAATGATGAAAAAGGGGTCCCTATGTCCTCCAGCAGTCTAAGCCTATAGCAGCAGAACTATAGAGATAGATCAGGATAACCTGAGCCACTCTAACTAGAAGCTTTATCAAAAAGGAAAGTTTTAAGCCTAGCCTTAAAAGTAGACAAGGTGTCTGCCTAACGGACTAAAACTGGTAGTTGGTTCCACAGGAGAGGAGCCTGAGAACTAAAAGATCTGCCTCCCATTCTACTTTTAGAAATTCTAGGAACCACTAGTAAACCTGCAGATTGAGAATGATGGATGGATGGATGGATGGATGGATGGATGGATGGATGGATCATGATGATGGACGACGGATGGATGGACGGATGGATGGATGGATGGATGACGGATGGATGGATGGTTGGATGGATCGATGGATGACGGATGGATGGATGGATGGATAATGGATGGATGGATGGATGGACGGATGGATGGATGGACGGACGGATGGATGGATGGATGGATGGATGGATGGATAATGGATGGATGGATGGACGGATGGATGGATGGATGGACGGATGGATGAATGATGGATGGATGGATGGATGGACGGATGGATGGATGACAGATGGATGACGGATGGATGACAGATGGATGACTGATGGATGGATGGATGGATGAATGATGGATGGATGGATGGATGATGGATGGATGGATGATGGATGATGGATGGATGGATGGATGGATGATGGATGATGGATGGATGATGGATGGATGGATGGATGGATGGATGGATGATGGATGGATGGATGGATGATGGATGATGGATGATGGATGGATGATGGATGGATGGATGGATGGATGGATGGATGGATGATGGATGGATGGATGGATGATGGATGATGGATGGATGATGGAAGATAGACAAGTCTTGATCAGGTGATTCTATTCTAATCCAGAACATCCATCAGCAGCAGCTGACTGACTGGTTTTTAACTGATGGGTTCAATAAATTTTAGAAAGTCAAACTGTTTCTATCGTCTGTCTTTAATCAGATTCAGGCTGATAGATTCTGATCATCACTTATTAGGTGATATTGAACCTGTTTCCAATATTAGATTAGAGCATTCCCAGTATAGTTGAAGGAAAATGTGTTCCTGCTCCAGGAAAGCTGCATGTCAGGCCATTTTATAGGAAACATTAAGCAGCTTCATGAATTTATCCATCCATCCATCCTCCATCCATCCATCATCCATCCATCCATCATCCATCC